ACTGCACTAAGAAATTTGATGTGTAATTAAACTGCTGTAGAAGAGAGAAGCTTTAAATTTAAGTCTTGATGAGTTCTTCAGAATCATTCACAATTCGTGCAAAGGCTACTTGGGATCTGAAGATGTGAAGATGTCAGAGGGTAGCATAGCTACCTATTCGCTCCAGACTGCTGGACAGCATGGCTTTTTTGTTTTGGTTTGGTTTGTTTTTCTGGTGTGGCAGCTCTGAGAGTTACAAGTTGTGAGCCCCATTCCAAAGCACAGGAGGAAGCCAGGACTCCAAGCACTTGGCCTAATAGAGCCAAAGCAACTCCTCCTTCCCTGCGCCAGCCAAAACATCATTATTTAAAGGAGGAAGAAGGTGGCTTTTTGTAGGCCCCAATGAGCCTTTTCGTACTTGTGTTGGGTGAGGACTTAACTTCGGACTCCTTGGTTCAAGCCCCAGTGAGTGAACTCTGGGTCACCTCTTCACATCACTTTGTGCAGGTTGACCCAGGCAGAACAAATACTCTCTAGTTATGATTCTTATGATAGAAGGAACCCTTTCACTCCATCAATATTCTTTGCATAGTAGAAACAATGATCATAATTGGACATTAATAAGCAACTATAGTCTTTAAGATACTTTCAAAATGAAATATGATACCATAAAAGTGGTTTTCTTACCTTGAAAAAAGAGCCACTTAGAGATTATTACAAGGGAGAAGGGCTGTCCAAAGCTGTTTTCTCCTCTGTTCAAAATTCACACTTGGCACTCAACAGCCATTTATTAAATATCTATGCTATGTAGGAAGAGAGGCAGCCATGGCGTGGTGGAGAAAGGGCTGGTCTCAAACTCAGGAAAGGATGAGTTTCCCCATTTCCCCTCAGATCCATACCAGCTGCGTAACCCTAGGCAAGTCGACCTCTCCATGGCCCAGGTACAACTCCTAAGTTTCAAAACCAGTGTCTATTTATCTGGGTAGAGGGGGGTTTCCTTAGATCCTTATGCCAATGATATCACAGGTTTGGTCCCCAAAAGTGGCACAGAACACTGTGGTAAGTGCTGGGAGACTTTGAACATGTCAATACAATACAGCACCAGCCTTCAAGGAGAAAGAAATGATCCTCGGACATATACATAGATTTACAAAATAATGTCTCAGAGCAGAGTGTTTTGTGAGGATCAAGGAGGGAAAGATTATTATTGTCTGGGGGCAGGAGGGAGGAAGATCAAGGAAAGCTTCATGGACAGATGAATATTTGTGTCAAGTTTGAAGTTATGGGTGCGAATGCAACAAGTAGGATTCTAGGCATCAGAAACAAAATGATGAAAAGACTCGGAGGCAGGACAGCACAGCATGTGCTTTATGTCCTTTTTCTAACCCCCTTTTATTTCTTTAATAGTCTTGTCAGTAAGGCTGAATAGGAAAGTGGAAAGAGCCCTGGCCTTGCAGTTAGAGGACCTAGGGTCTCCAGACTATACTATTCCTGTGCCCTTGGCCAAGTCACTTCCCCACCTGGGCCTCAGTTTCCTCATCTGCAAAATAAAGGGGTCAGCCTAAATGGCCTCTGAGTTCCCTTCCACAGCCATGTCTGTGATTCTGTAATCTTTTGAGACATGCATTAGACTTGGGAATCAAAATTCCAGCATCCTAGCCCTCACTAAGATGAATGTGACTTTGGATAACTTATTTCAGGTTTTCCTTGTAATTCCTGTAAGTCTGTGTAATTTCTTGTGTCTATAAAGAAGAAATATCAGTGCCTGTATCTCACAGACCCTTGAGGGCAGTGAGGTGGCACAGTGAATAGAGTGCCAGGTCTAGAGTCAGGAAGACCTGAGTTCCAATTCGGCCTCATACATTTACTAGCTGTGTGACCTTGGGCAAGTCACTTAACCCTGTTTGTTTCAGTTTCCTCATCTGTAAAATGAGCTGGAGAAGGAAATGGCAAACCACTCCAATATCTTTGCCAAGAAAATCCCGAATGGGGTCACAAGGAGTCAGACATGACTGAAATGAATGAACAGTAACAACATAGAACCTTAATGTTTGAAGGGTCCCAGAAGGGGACCAGTGCAACTCTTGCCTCAAGTATAAGCCCTCTTCACTGTAGCTCCCTTTTGAAGACCACCTCCCCTCCTGCCCACCATCCACCACTCATTCCCTTCTTCCCAAGGCTGATGCTCAATTGTATTTTTGGACACCTTGAGTCGAAAATCAACTTTCCCCCTACCTTCCACCCCCTGGTCCTTGTTCAGTCCTCTAAGGCTAATCCCTCTTTGCATGACTTACTTGAGCACCTCAAACTGAAGAAGTTCCCTGATTTCATTGGGGGGGGCACTTTCTCCACCAGCATAGACCCCCAACTCCTTTATGCCTTCAGTAGGCCATCTTCCCAAGTTGTGGCCAAAATAATTTGTCCCTGAGCGTCCAACTTTTTGGTAGTGAGCCTGTGGAGGGAGATGTATACTTCCAACTTTCAAATGTTTTTGTTTTCTTTTTTTGGTATTCAGTAGGTATACCTTTGAAAAAAAATAACGTGGTTAATTAGTGTTATGGGAAGACTTGCGTTTCTTAACATCAAAAGTTAAAAAGAATGTTTTCAAATCCTACATCCTTGATAAAATCTCTTACCCCAAACAGAAAGACCTGAAATTCTCCATTCTTGTCGCCCTCTATTTTCTCACTGGGCTTATGAGGTGAGAAGGAAGGAGAAAATAGTTGTTCGTTTTGTTTTGTTCTGAAATGAAGTCTTTAGATTCTAACCTTTTAAAGATAAAAATGGTAGTTCCTTATGTATGGAGACAGCGGCATGAGAGAAGGATCGGAGGAAAGTTAAAACTGATTATTTTGATTCCTTCAAAGAGTGGAATGGGAGAGAGGATGTTTCTTAGAAATGTAAAGAGCCTAAAAGAAATCAGTCAAATACACGTAGGCCTTAAATATATTGCAGAAAAATGAGAGACTAAAGTGGCTTGAGGTTTTTACAGTTTAATGTATTTCCTTTCGAACTGTTTAAAAATTGGAGGAGCTATACTGTCTAAGAACAGGCAGAAATGAGGATGCTTTTTAAGAAAATTGTGTTTCTAGTTAGCATTTGGAGAAAAAATAAATACAAGGGCTTTACTCACCTCCTGTGAGTAAACTATTTTCTAGGAATGAGCCACTCACGCATTTGAAGTTAATCGAGGCCCTAAGATTTTAGTTAATACCTTATTTAAATTGCCTTCTTAGAGGTTTAGCAGCCTCTGATTCAGTTAATGTAACACACAGTTTATTTCATTGAAGGCATAATATACTGAGTAGCCAGGTTCATGGAGTGAGCAGCTTAAATTTTCCAAAAGGAAACACATTAAACCTTAACCATAGCTGGCTTCTCTGAAGTTCCAAATAAAATCCCATCTTTTCTAGAAAGCCTTTCCCAACCCTTCTTAGTTCTAGTGCCTTCTCACTCAATTATTTCCTCTTTACCTTGTAAATAGCTTACTTTGTATATCTTTGTTTGCATGTTATAGCCCCTATTAGATTATAAGCTTCTTAAGGGCAGGGACTATCTTGCCTGTTTTTTTTTTTTTGTTTTTTTTGTTTTGTTGTTTTTTGGTATCCCTAACCTTTAGCTGAGTGCCTGTTGAATTGTTTGAGTCATGTCCAACTCTTCATGACCCCATTTAGGGTTTTCTGTCATTTCCTTCTCCAGCTCATTTTACAGATGAGGAAACTGAGGCAAACAGGTTTAAGTGACTCGCCCAGGGTCACACTGCTAGAAAGTGTCAGATCAGATTTGAATTCATGATTCATGATTCTTGATTCATAAAGTCTTCTTGGTTCCAAACCCAGTGCTCTATCTACTTTGTAGGTGCTTAACCAGCATTGACTGATTGATTGGTATATACTTTGTGTACATGCCATTTGCTCCACACACAGCAACCTGTAAACCAGGTGCTGTGGGCATCTTTATCCTCATTTTACAGATGGGGTAACTGAGGCCCAGAATGATGAATGGCATTCCAGTTTCACAGAACTAATCAATGTCAGGAATTTTCCTACTCCCCTATTCTTTTCACAACTCTACCTGTTTACTAAAATTGATCCCCTCAGTTTGGTGCTTAGAGGTCATGGGTCTTGAGTTTGAAAACTTTTACTTGCCTCTTAAACTGATTATATTTTGCAGCCATAGATCCAAGGTTGTAAAGGTTTTGAAGGAAAGAAAACAAATTCTGGCATTAAAACACTAATTTATCCAGCTCTCTCCCAACTAAAAATTCCTTTTTTTTGGGGGGGGGCATAAGGCAGGGAGAAGAGAGGAATCAAGAAAGGAAGAACAGAAAAATAAAACCAAGCTTTTCATTTTCTACACTCTATTCCATCTTTCACCTATGTAACTTTGTACAGGCCTTCCCCATGTCTGGAATGCACTCCCTCCTTTCTTCCACCAAATGGAATCCCTACTTCCTTCAGGGCATCTAGGTGGCACAGTGGATAGAGCACTGGGGCTGGAGTCAGGAAGACTCCTCTTCCTGAGTTCAAATCCAGCCTCAGACACTTCCTACCTGTGTGACCTTGGGCCAATCACTTCACCCTGTTTACTTCCATTTTCTCATCTGTAAAATGAGCTGGAGAAGGAAATGGCAAACCATTCCAGTATCTTTGCCGAGAACACCCCAAATAAAGTCACAAAGACTCAGACACAATTGAAACGACTCAATAGCCTCAAAGCTCCACTCAAACTTCTCCAGTAGCTAGTGAACCCCCATATGTCTACATCTTGTATATGGGTGTATATCTTAAATATACTTAAGTACATGATGTTTCCCTTGGAGGTTTAGGCCAATAATTTTAAAATTATTGACTCTTACTCTTTAGGTCAATGGAGGCTACAGATAATAGGCAAAGATCAGATTTCAATTCTATATAATTACTTTTGTAAACATTCCCCAAATGTGACTGCATTTGTAAAGGCTGTCCCTATAATCACTCCTCAATCATTAACATCTGTGATTTTTCTTCCTCTTCTTACAGGTATACAGAACAGGGAGAGCTGGCATCATTACAGAAGGAAAAGAAAAAATGACCAATTGATGGTGAAATGAGTCCAAGCCAGAGAGTACACTTTGCACCACAAAGAAAAAGGTATAATCCAACAGCCCCATGAGTGCCTTCCCTGAGCCGAGCAATTAGCAAGAGTCCTTGAAGCTCCTGTTGGGCACATTGGTCATGGTTGTTGGCCACAGAATATTTCCAACCTAAAGTTATCCTCTCTGGTTTCTTGTGTACAGATTTGAGGCTGGAGTGAAGTGTAATTAGGGTACATGTTTATGGTTAGTCTAATCTGGCTGCCGCTGTCATATTTCAGCAGAGTCTCTTCTCCTCTCTTATTTAGACTGTGGCATCATAGAGCTTGGCTTTTAATTTCAGGTTATATCTGAGAGCCCAGCAAGTTCAAAATAGAGTTTGGTGTTGGAGGAGGTTGGGACGCTAGAGTTTTTGCTTTCTTTAGGGGAAACTATTGGAAATCTCTTTAATAGGGATTTGAAGAATGTGACTTGGGGGATACATTTTGCCCTGAGATGCATAAATATCTGCAGCCTTTTTTTTTGTCTGTCATGACCAATCTCAGAAGCACCAAATGTGTTTTTGTGTTTCTCATTTTGTGTTGTCATCCCCATGTGATAAGATGACAGTACTTCCCAACCATTAGGATTTCAAGTATTGTTTTGGCAGCAATGTTGATTTTATGGATGTGTTTGCTCACATTGTCTAACATGGCCAATGTGGGAATTTGGTTTTGCTTGACTACAGACATTTATAACAAGGGATTTTGTTTTTCTTTCCTTCTCAAGGAAGAAAAGGATATGAGTGGGAGAGACAAATGATGGATTTTTGTTAATTGAAAAAGATAGAAATTTAATTTTTTTTTAAATGATGGCTAGGATGAAGTAGTCCTGCCTATGACTATGAAAAGTACACTGGTAGAATGGTTTTAGAGCAAGAAAGACTTGGATTGAAGGCCTGCCTCTAATGCGTACTGACACTATGGCCCTCATTTAACTCCTCATGTTCTAGGCAACTCTCTAAGATAGGAGTTCCTGTCCTGGGGTCCATTAACTTCTTCTTTTAATATTTTGACAACTAGACTGCAATAAAATTGGTTTCCTTTGTAGTCCTATGCATTTGATTATCAAAAATATGATTCAGGAGAGGGGTCCATAGGCTTCATCAGACTGCCAAGGGGGTCCATGAACCAAAAAAAGGTTAAGAGTCCCTGGTCTGGGAGTATAAACATCAGAGAGGAAACTGAACTGACTTGGTATCATAGCAGGAGTTTCCTCAACAGGGACTGCATATACCAATAAAATCACAGGTCCAATATCTGTTTAGCCCCACCTACCCCACCCACCCCATCTATGACCACAGAACTTGATTGTTCATGGAATGAATTAACTAGCTTCGTTAACTCAGCACTCCAAATAACTGAACCAGCCAGGCGCTATACTAACATGTGCCACATCAAAAGTATTCTGGAGGGGCAGCTAGGTGGCACAGTGGATAGAGCACCGGCCCTGGATTCAGGAGGACCTGAGTTCAAATCCGGCCTCAGACGCATAATGCTTACTAGCTGCGTGACCCTGGGCAAGTCACTTAACCCCATTGCCTAGCAAAAACAAAAAACAAACAAACAAAAAAAAGTATTCTGGAGACCCACCTAAGACAAATGTCTACCAACCCAGATGGCCCTAGCCTAGCTATTCATGCTCTCTTCTTCCTCAGGGGGCCATCTCTAGTTGTTCTGATCCATATCTGGCCGCTGGACCCAAATGGCTCCAGAGGAAAGAGGGAGGCTGGTGACTTTGCATAGCTCTCCCTCACTGTAATCCAGTTCACTTGCAAATCATGATATCACCGTATCCTGTTGTCAAGGTCATCTTCCAGAATGAAGGACAAACAGCCCCCTCCTCAAATATTCCTAGAGCCTTTTGACTGCCTTGGCCTTTACCCCTAGTTACTTATATCTATATTATCCTTCTCTGTGTTCATATTAGTTATTCAGTCAGTGAACAGGCATTTACGAAGCACCTACTCTATGGCAGGCTCTGTGCTAAGAGGCGGGGATACAAAGAAAGGCACAAATGTGATCCCTACCCTCAAGAAGCTCACATTCCTGTGGGGGAGACTTTGCATGAGTAAGCATTTATAGTCAAGATATATACAGGGCAAATGGAAGATCAGCTCAGAGGGAAAGCATCAGCTGGTAGAAGGGAAGAAAGGGGACCAAGAAAGGCTGCCCGCAGAAGGCAAAAGTTAAGTTGAGTTTTGAAGAAAACAGGGGAGCTAGGAGCCAGATGGGAGAGAGAGCATCCCAAGAATGTGGGATAGCCCAGGAGCGCAGAAGGACAGGGTTTGGGGGTCAAGCGTCCTATGGGTGGAGCAGCAAGTCAGGATAGATTGAGCACAGAATATATGTAGGGAAATTAAATATTAGAAAGAGACCAGGCTGTGAAAGGCTTTAAATGGCAAAACAAAAGAATTCGTGTTTGATCCGAGAAGTAATAGGAAGCTCCTAGAATTTGTTAAGTGTAGTGGGTATGGTGATACTTGTGTTTTCTGAAAATTACTGGCCTATGAGTGGAAGCACTGAGTAAGCACAATGTAAGCATTTAATAAATATTTCCTTAATTGCAAAAAAAATGAAAGAGCTGAACCACCCTCCCTTTCTATGGTTCCTTCATTCAACAAATAGCAAACGCCTATTATATGCACAGCAGTGTATTGGGCACCGAGGATATATAATTTTATCTGATAAGATTTAGATAAGATATACTCTTTGCTGTCGTGGTGCTTATAGTTTAGTAGAGGGGATAGGACAGGAATAGAGATAACTAAAATATTTTATAGTAAATACTTTAGAAAGTTCCCCCCAAAAAATGGTATGTGAAATCTAAAGAAGCTCATTATCAGCTGGCATTCAGGATTATGCAATGGTGAGGCTCCATTGATTATCCCAACCCACTTAAATGTAATTTCCTTTGTGCAGTAATAACACTTTTTAAGTGAATCAGTCATTAAGAACCAAGTGTGAACAGGGCTTGTGTACCTTCTTAAATCAAAGTTATTGTTTGAGAGATTTGGTCACACCATAAGGAACTTTCATAGAGAGGAAGAGCTGTCTCAGAACTAGTTAGAAATTCTGAGGATCTAGAAGCAGAGAGTTAGGAATTGGGTCATACAGAACCTGAAAAAACCAACAGCTGTGGATGGAGAGGGGAGGGGGCAACCAGAGAATGGAAAAAAGGAGGTAAGACTGAGCTTTGGCAGAGAAAAGAAAAGTTGAGAAGGGATATTGACCCTGTCAGCATCTTGTAGCAGAAAACTCAAAATGAGTCCAATGTGCCCATCTACTCAAAGATTAAGGCGAGTTATGAGAAAAGATTTTTTCTTGCCCCAACTTTTTCTTCTAGTGTCTTTCTATAATATATAATTTGCTGTTTCATTATCCAAAGATCTTACCTGAATTTTTACTGAAACAATAAGAATCCAAGGTTTAGAAATGAATATGAATGTTAAAGTAAAGAAGTGAACTTAACATCCTTCTAAATGTTAAGATTTTTTCCTTAGTGGGGTCTTAAAGCAATGAATGTATACTTTTTATCTATTTAATTAATTTCCTAAAGCTGCAGAGAAGGGAACCACATGTGGGTGGAAGCATAGGAACCATTATATTGTTTCTAGGTTTAAAGGAAGCTAATTATTATAACGAGTTTTATAATATAACAATAATAGATAGATAGTCTTAAAAATTAACTCAGCTGCTGAAGGGGGTGATGGATAGTATTCTAAGTATTGGCACATATTCTGGGACAAGGAGTAGACCAGTTTGGCTAGAGCATAAAATATAGTAACATGAGATAATAATGTGAGAAAAGCAGGATGGTGCCAGATTGTGACAGTTCTTGAATATTATGCCAAAGAGTTTGGGCTCCCTTAGGAGATAATAGGGACTCATTGATGATTTTTGCATGTGGGAGAGGCATCACAAAATATGTGGAAGAAAGTTGATATTCTTGCAGTTTATGAAAGAAAGAGAAAGAATGAAAGTGGGAAGATACGTGGAGAGGCTATTGCAATAGTCCAGGTGGCTGGTAATGAGCCCTATCCTAGGGCAGTGATAGTGGAAACAGAAGAGGAATCTTAAAAGATCACAGATTGGGGGCAGAGCCAAGATGTCAGAGTGAACACAGGGAATTCCTTGGAGTTCTCTCAGATTTACCTCCAAACCACATTTGAAAAGGGCCTTAAAACAAGTTCTGGAGCTGCAGAACCAACAAAAGGACAGAATGAAACAATTTTATAGCTCAAGACAACTTGAGAGGTTGATAGGAAAGGTCTGTCTCACTGGAGTGAGAATGGAGCTCAGTCCAGAACAGGCCTTGCCAGTGTAAGCCATGCTAGGAAAACCAGCAGCAGGCCTTGGGGGCAACTGCATCAGCAGCGATGGTGGTTTCCGGAGCTCTCAGCCCACAGGCGGTAAGGGGGCTGGACAATTTATCAGAATGAAATTACAAGGGACTTTTCGCTGACACTTACATGGTTGTGGCTTGAAATCCCACGGTTCTGGCTTGTCCTATCCTTCTTCTCCCCCCACCCCCCCACTAAGGCAAAGCACTGACAGAAATGGGGACCCTGATCAGAGTATCAGAGTTCCAGGGTGGAAAAGAGGGCTTGTGGTCTCTCATGTCAGAATACAGGCCAGGAGAACAGTGACCATACCTCTCCTTAGATTATAGTACCTTGGAAGAACTGAGAGCCTGCAGACCCCCCAAACTAGCTCTGAAAATAGTGACATAAAAACCCTGAAATTTGGGACAGTGCCCCCTCTACCTTGGGAGCACAGCTAAACTTTAACATAAAGTTAAAAGTCAATAAATAAGTTGGGAAGATGAGCAAACAAACAAACAAACAAACAAGAACCTGACCCTAGAAAGTTACTGTGGTGACAGGGAAGATCAAAACACAAACTCAGAGGAAGACAACAAAATCAAAGCAACTATATACAAAGCCTCAAAGAAAAATGCCAATTGGTCTCAGCTCAAAAAGAATTTTAAAAATCAGTTAAGAGAGGTAGAGGAAAGATT